CTGGAGACCTGTCCAGGTGTCTCTGTGATGGCCTGGAGACCTGTCCAGGTGTCTCTGTGATGGACTAGAGACCTGTCCAGGTGTCTCTGTGATGGACTGGAGACCTGTCCAGGTGTCTCTGTGATGGACTGGAGACCTGTCCAGGTGTCTCTGTGATGGACTGGAGACCTGTCCAGGTGTCCCCTGCCTCTCCCACAGTGACTGCTGGACACGGGCACCAGTGACCCCCAGGACCCAACAGAGAAGAAGCGGGTGAAGGTGACGGATGGAGCTCCACTCTAATAATATTTAAATAGTAAAAGCAGCCACCAGGATCAGAACATGATTGTTAAAACCTTAATTTAAAGACTGAACCTGTAAATCAAAACACATTCATAGTTCTTACCTTGACATGCGTTTTATTTTTTACTGAAGTATTTTTGATTTTCTTTCATTTTTTATTTCAGTGATCCAACAAGCAGTTGATGGGAGAACGTTTCCAGCAGGACACACTGCACTTTATTCATCTTCTCCTGAACGCTGGAGCTTCTTCCATTTGTCTGAGCTGAAGCCGAATGTCAGCGTGAAGGTTCTGGAGGCCCGAGGTGTCAGCGAGTTCCCTTACATAACGGAGCGAGGATCGCTACGTGCAGTTTCTGCCTCGCCCTCTCAACGCAGCATTGTTCTCAGGCCCTCAGCCTGCATTCACTGCACGGAGAACAAAGCCCACCTGAGAGCAGGAGCGTGGCAGCAAGCCGGGCCGGCGGCCGGGCTCGGCCCTGCAGACCCAGATGAGGCAATAAGACAAGCAGAACCTTGTTCCCACGGGTCAAAGCCAGCAGATGAGCTGATACTGTCAGCAAGCGTTTCTCCTCCACCCACCACACGCCGCCACAGAGCGGCTGTTACGATCCATGGGAAATAATCCTGGAGGATCAGAACTTCACGGCTCACAGGGAAGCCTCGTGGTTCAGTCCTGGAGGACGTCTCCTTGTTCAGGACGGGCCCGTCTCAGAGGGAGCTTCTGCTTCAGCTGCTCCCCTTATCTGGAGACAGTTCCTCAGCTGCAGGTTCTGCTTGTTCTTGGAAGAACCTCAGCTGCAGG